GATGTCGGGGGATTGTGGAGGCCAGGTCATCTGATGCAGCACTCCATCACTCTCCATCACTCTCCTTCTTGGTGTGTTGGGTCATTGTCCTGTTGAAAAACAAATGATAGTCCCACTAAGCCCAACCAGAGGGGATGGCGTATCGCTGCAAAATGCTGTGGTAGCCATGCTGGTTAAGTGTGCCTTGATTTCTGAATAAATCACAGATAGTGTCACCAGTAAAGCACCCCCACACCATAACATCTCCTCCTCCATGCTTTACGGTGGGAACTATACATGCAGAGATCATGCGTTCACCCACTCCGTGTCTCACAAAGACACAGCGGTCTGAAACAAAAATCTCCAAATTGGACTCCAGACCAAAGGACAAATTTCCACTGGTCTAATGTCTATTGCTCGTGTTTCTTGGCCCAAGCTGGTCTCCTCTTCTTATTGGTGTCCTTTAGTAGTGGTTTCTTTGCAGCAATTTGACCATGAAGTCCCCTTTGAACAGTTGATGTTGAGATGTGTCTGTTACTTGAACTCTGTGAAGCATTTATTTGGGTTGCAATTTCTGAGGCTGGTAACTCTAATGAACTTATCCTCTGCAGCAGAGGTAACTCTGGGTCTTCCATTCCTGTGGCGGTCCTCATGAGAGACAGTTACATCATAGCGCTTGATGGTTTTTGAAACTGCACTTGAAGAAACCTTAAAAGTTATTGAGATGTTCCGTATTGACTGACCTTCATCTCTTAAAGTAATGATGGACTGTCGTTTCTCTTTGCTTATTTGAGCTGTTCTTGCCATAATATGGACTTGGTCCTTTACCAAATAGGGCTATCTTCTGTATACCCCCCCTACCTTGTCACAACACAACTGATTGGCTCAAATGCATTAAGAAGGAAGTTTTACTATGACGTCTGGATGAACCAAGTCTCGGGCCCAGGGAAATAACATTTAAAAGGCCTGCCTCTTGGCATCAGACAGAACATTTAGCAGTTTTCAATCTAATTTCTTGTAATTCTACACATTTTGTCATGGGACAGAGATATTTTTTTTGCTGTTGCAGCTTTAAAGCTAATATCCTGCAATTCAACACAGGGAGAAAACTTTGCTAATTTAAAGGGGGGGTAGTATTGAATAGAAAAATGTATAATTGGTGGAGTAATGTGGATACCAATATCCCTGTGAGCCTCCCAGGCCCATGTTGCCCAGGATTAAGAACATACATTGTAAGCATTTCACAGTTAGCCTACACCTGTTGTTTACGAAGCATGTGACAAATAAAAATTGATTTGATTTTTTATTTATTGTAGATTAACAAGTTTACATTGTATTGTATTAAACACTTTAAACTTATTCCACAGATCCTTGGCCAAAAGTCATTTAATCTGTTGTTAGTAATATTCCCCCCCCCTAAAAATGTATGTAGCCGGCCACGACCGGGAGACCCATGGGGCGGCGCACAATTTGCCCAGCGTCGTCCAGGGTAGGGGAGGGAATGGCCGGCAGGGATGTAGCTCAGTTGGTAGAGCATGGCGTTTGCAACGCCAGGGTTGGGGGTTCGATTCCCACGGGGAGCCAGTATAAAAAATAAATTAAAAAAATGTAAGTCACTCTGGATAAGAGCGTCTGCTAAATGACTAAAATGTAATGTGAAAATATGTAAAGATTTTGTTTGGACACACCTACTCATTCAAGGGTTTTTCTTTATTTATTTTTTTACAATTCTTTACATTGTAGAATAATAGTGAAGACATCAAAACTATGAAATAACACATATGGAATCATGTAGTAACCAAAAAAAGGTGTTAAACAAATCAAAATATATTTTATATTTGAGATTCTTAAAATAGCCACCCTTTGCCTTGAGGACAGCTTTGCACACTCTTGGCATTCTCTCAACCAGCTACACCTGAAATGATTTTCCAACAGTCTTGAAGGAGTTCCCACGTATGCTGAGCACTTCTTGGCTGCATTTCCTTCACTCTGCCGTCTGACTCATCCCAAACCATCTCAATTGGGTTGAGGTCGGGGGATTGTGGAGGCCAGGTCATCTGATGCAGCACGTCATCACTCGACTTTTTAGTAAAATAGCCCTTACACAGCCTGGAGGTGTGTTGGGTCATTGTCCTGTTGAAAAGCCCAAACCAGAGGGGATGGCGTATCGCTGCAGAATGCTGTGGTAGCCATGCTGGTTAAGTGTGCCTTGAATTCTAAATAAATCACAGACAGTGTCACCAGCAAAGCCCCCTCTCACCATAACACCTCCTCCTCCATTCTTTACGGTGGGAACTACACATGCTGAGATCATCTGTTCACCCACACCGCGTCTCACAAATTTGGACTCCAGACCAAAGGACACATTTCCACCAGTCTAATTTCCATTGCTCATGTTTCTTGGCCCAAGCAGGTCTCTTCTTCTCATTGGTGTCCTTTAGTAGTGGTTTCTTTGCAGCAATTTGACCATGAAGGCCTGATTCACACAGTCCCCTCTGAACAGTTGATGTTGAGATGTGTCTGTTACTTGAACTCTGTGAAGCATTTATTTGGGTTGCAATTTCTGAGGCTGGTAACTCTAATGAATTTATCCTCTGCAGCAGAGGTAACTCTGGGTCTTCCATTCCTGTGGCGGTCCTCATGAGAGACAGTTACATCATAGCGCTTGATGGTTTTTGCAACTGCACTTGAAGAAACCTTAAAAGTTCTTCAGATGTTCCGTATTGACTGACCTTCATGTCTTAAAGTAATGATGGACTGTCGTTTCTCTTTGCTTATTTGAGCTGTTCTTGCCATAATATGGACTTGGTCTTTTACCAAATAGGGCTATCTTCTGTATACCCCCCTAACTTGTCACAACACAACTGATTGGCTCAAACACATTAAGAAGTAAATAAATTCCACAAATTAACTTTTAAGAAGGCACACTTGTTAATTGAAATGCATTCCAGGTGACTACCTCATGAAGCTGGTTGAGAGAATGCCAAGAGTGTGCAAAGCTGTCATCAAGGCAAAGGGTGGCTATTTGAAGAATCTCAAATATAAAATATATTTTGATTTGTTTAACACTTTTTTGGTTACTACATGATTCCATATGTGTTCTTTCATAGTTTTGATGTCTTCGCTATTATTCTACAATGTAAACAAAAACTTGAAAAGTAGGTATGTCCAAACTTTTGACTGGTACTGTATATTTTGTATATTTTGAGATCTGGCCGTGGACCCCAATTTAAGAACCTCTGTTTTAGATGGTTAAAAAGAAGAGTGATAACACATTGGGAATTCAACAAACCTTTGGCTGTCTTTTTTAATGGGTGAAAATAGGTTGGAATCTCATGGATCAACGTACTAAATGTTACCTGTGTGCCCAGTGAGGAGACTTTTAATGACCTTCTCTGTTTGACCTTCCAGGCTTCCATCCATATAGTAGTGCACTATTCATCTGACCTGAATGAATGTATCCAAAACAACTTACCACAGCTAGTTTGAAAACTGTTTTACGCTTGATCTATTTAGACTGTGGGAGACTGTGTGTTTGTGAGTCAATGCACTGTGAGTGTTGTTGCCAAATCTTCACAGTGGGGTTCTACCTGGAATTAAAACTACAGAACAGAAGGCCCCATAAACCGTTCTCCTTGACCCTCTCTCTGCATTCCTTCCATTGTCAAATTAATTAACCTTGTACTGTAGCTTAAGAATGCCAGTGTTGACAGAATGAGAGAGCCGTCTGTAGCGTACTGTGAGCACCCAGTTAGAGTGGGTAGCAGGTTACCCATTGGGACAGAGAGTGTACTAGAGTATATATAGTAAACAGGAAGCCCAAGGTGAGTGAGCTCCAGTCTGCCTGCCACTGGTGTAGAGAGGCTGGAGAGAGGAGGGGAAAGAGGGGGAAAGAGGAGGGGAGAGAGGAAGGGAGAGAGGGGGAGAGAGGCGGAGACAGGAGGGGAGTAACCCTAACCCGATGCTGGGGTTAGATTCCTCCAATCTCCCCCCTCCATATCCCTCATTTCTGTGACGGGGAAAGGCATACAGTCCCCATACCATGCACACATTAACTGGAGATTGCATCAACACACACATGTAATACAGTACGCTTGCATGTACTATAGGTATGCAGGGCCCTCACAGGGAAAATCAATAAGCCACATGTTTTTGTTTCCACATGTTTTTGTTTCCACATGTTTAACTTTTAAGAAGGCACACCTATTAATTGAAATGCATTCCAGGTGACTACCTCATAAAGCTGGTTGAGAGAATGTCAAGAGTGTGCAAAGCTGTCATCAAGGCAAAGGGTGGCTATTTGAAGAATCTCAAATAGCCACCCTTTAATATTTATTTAACACTTTTTTGGTTACTACATGATTCCATATGTGTTATTTCATAGTTTTGATGTCTTCATTATTATTCTACAATGTATAAAATAAAGGAAAAATAAAGGAACATCCTTGAATGGGTAGGTGTGTCCAAACTTTTGATTGGTAATGTACATCACATAAGACTGAAATATAACAATACTGTTTGACATAGAAACACCAGATTTTCTGTGGAAGAAAAGTTGATTAATTATGAAAAATATTAATAACATTCCACCCATGAGGCCACTAGAGGGCGCTTTGGTCATTCAACTGCAGGAAAGGGATCTAAATGACATCATTGGATGTCCTCTGTTCTGATGACCCCTTGTTGACCCCTAACCTCTGACCCCTGACCTGTCCCGACAGTACTCAGACTTGACTCCTTGCCTGGAGTCAAATTAGGAGAACAAGACACATTACAAGCCCTGATTAGATGGCTGGCACCCAAAATACTGAATTGCTATTTGCATGTTAGAAACGTTCTACACCGAGACTTGATTGATGAGGTTTTAACACTTCATCAAGAGCTTAGTAAGTCACTCAGGGTAATGGTGACAATGTTGGCTGGGACTTTGTTGTTGTTTACGCTTCAGCACAGCCTCACACAGAAATAAACAACAACAAGGGCACCTGATGTTGATGATTCTCTTCTTCTCTCTCGTCTAGATCCGGCGTCGGAGACCAACACCTGCAACACTGTTCAGAGTGGCAGACCAGGGTTCTCCTGAGGATGATCAGTCTACCCATCAGGTAACAGAGCGCCCCTAGTGCCTTGGAGGATAACTGCATGTCACCCTATAGTCATATGAATGGTCGCATTATTTCAAAATTGTAGGCTTCATTCAACTTCTTCTTCCTTCCACAGTGGGTTGTAGGAGAAAATGGGGTACTGAAGCCCAAGCGAGTCAACCCAAATGTGTATCAGCCACCATCCCTGAAAGGTATGAGTACAGTGGGGAAAAAAAGTATTTAGTCAGCCACCAATTGTGCAAGTTCTCCCACTTAAAAAGATGAGAGAGGCCTGTAATTTTCATCATAGGTACACGTCAACTATGACAGACAAAATTAGGAAAAAAAATCCAGAAAATCACATTGTAGGATTTTTAATGAATTTATTTGCAAATTATGGTGGAAAAGAAATATTTGGTCAATAACAAAAGTTTCTCAATACTTTGTTATATACCCTTTGTTGGCAACGACACAGGTCAAACGTTTTCTGTAAGTCTTCACAAGGTTTTCACACACTGTTGCTGGTATTTTGGCCCATTCCTCCATGCATATCTCCTCTAGAGCAGTGATGTTTTGGGGCTGTCACTGGGCAACACGGACTTTCAACTCCCTCCAAAGATTTTCTATGGTGTTGAGATCTGGAGACTGGCTAGGCCACTCCAGGACCTTAAAATGCTTCTTACGAAGCCACTCCTTCGTTGCCCGGGTGGTGTGTTTGGGATCATTGTCATGCTGAAAGACCTAGCCACGTTTCATCTTCAATGCCCTTGCTGATGGAAGGAGGTTTTCACTCAAAATCTCATGATACATGGCCCCATTCATTCTTTCCTTTACAACGGATCAGTCATCCTGGTCCCTTTGCAGAAAAACAGCCCCAAAGCATGATGTTTCCACCCCCATGCTTCACAGTAGGTATGGTGTTCTTTGGATGCAACTCAGCATTCTTTGTCCTCCAAACACGACGAGTTGAGTTTTTACCAAAAAGTTATATTTTGGTTTCCTCTGACCATATGACATTTCTCCCAATTCTCTTCTGGATCATCCAAATGCACTCTAGCAAACTTCAGACGGGCCTGGACATGTACTGGCTTAAGCAGGGGGACACGTCTGGCACTGCAGGATTTGAGTCCCTGGCGGCGTAGTGTGTTACTGATGGTAGGCTTTGTTACTTTGGTCCCAGCTCTCTGCAGGTCATTCACTAGGTCCCCCCGTGTGGTTCTGGGATTTTTGCTCACCGTTCTTGTGATCATTTTGACCCCACGGGGTGAGATCTTGCGTGGAGCCCCAGATCGAGGGAGATTATCTGTGGTCTTGTATGTCTTCCATTTCCTAATAATTGCTCCCACAGTTGATTTCTTCAAACCAAGCTGCTTACCTATTGCAGATTCAATCTTCCCAGCCTGGTGCAGGTCTACAATTTTGTTTCTGGTGTCCTTTGACAGCTCTTTGGTCTTGGCCATAGTGGAGTTTGGAGTGTGACTGTTTGAGGTTGTGGACAGGTGTCTTTTATACTGATAACAAGTTCAAACAGGTGCCATTAATACAGGTAACGAGTGGAGGACAGAGGAGCCCCTTAAAGAAGAAGTTACAGGTCTGTGAGAGCCAGACATCTTGCTTGTTTGTAGGTGACCAAATACTTATTTTCCACCATAATTTGCAAATAAATTCATTAAAGATCCTACAATGTGATTTTATGGATTTTTTTTTTCTCCATTTGTCTATCATAGTTGACGTGTACCTATGATGAAAATTACAGGCCTCTCTCATCTTTTTAAGTGGGAGAACTTGCACAATTGGTGGCTGACTAAATTCTTTTTTCCCCCACTGTATAACTGAGTGAGTAAGTAGTGTATATGTCCTCTGTATGGTGAATGATCCCTGTGTTGATACTGTGTTTTACCTTGCTTGACTGTACTGTTGCCTCCTGCTTATATTATTCGTGAAATGGGGGAAGTGGGGTAAGATGCATGTGACAAATTAATGCAACTCATGTCAATCAGTTTGTCTCTTTATTAGGATACGTACCATACATTATATACGTGCAAGAGGGATTTCTTCTATAGAAATAAATACAACTGTTTTGCTTCTATGCACATAGATAGAGAGAAGAGAGAGAGAGAGAGAGAGAGAGAGAGAGAGAGAGAGAGAGAGAGAGATAGAGAGAGAGAAGAGAGAGAGAGAGAGAGCTAGAAGAGAGACGAGAAGAGACGAGTAGATAGAGAGAGAGAGAAGAGCGAGAGAGATATGAGAGAGAGCGAGAGAGATATAGATAGAGAAGAGAGAGAGAGAGAGAGAGAGAGAGAGAGAGAGAGAGAGAGAGAGAGAGAGAGAGATTAGAGAGTGTGACAGCTGTGAGCATTGAAGTGTGGAGCCCTGTGCAGCCTGATCGATCCAGGATTTACCAAAGAGCGTATACAGCTGCAGAATGACAAACACACACACACACCACACAATACACACATAACACAAACACACCACCACCACACAAGTTTTCCTAAATGTTGCTGCTTCAATACTTGTTGCTGCATTCAGAGCTCCTAAACGAGAGTAAGTAAGCTAGTCTGACGCAGAAAAAAATCTATTTGAGGCTTTGTCGTAGATGTTCATTAAAAGGCGGTGATTACTGTGGTGCTTGTAGAGTGTAGAGCGTTATTATAATAACCCAGTCGGTGTTCCTGTATCCAGTATTCCATCCTTCAGTAGCTCTCAGCCATGCTCATGGAGAGAGAGAGAGAGAGTATATCGAGATCGAGAGAGAGAGAGAGAGATCGAGAGGAGAGAGAAGAGAGAGAGAGCTATGAGAGATAGAGCGAGAGAGAGAGATAGGTGATAGATCTAGATATATAGCGATAGATAGATAGAGAGAGATCTCTCTCGCGTACTCGATTCGAGATTCTCTCTCTCTCTCTCATCTAGATCTCTATCTTTCTCTGCCTCTCTCTCTCTCTCTCTCTCTCTCTTCCCAGCATTCCACGTTTACGCTACCTACAATAGAGGTATTGTAGAGAGTCACTGTTGATTCAGCATTTTTCGAGTCACTGAACAAGGACCAGACAATCGAGAAATTAAAGGATTAAAAACAAATGCGGGAAAGAGAAAGGATGTATAATACCAATCCATAACAAACTACAAAACATGAAAGTGCTGGCTATTCTGCCTCTCAATTTGTCTGTCTGTCTGGGTTGGTGGTTGGCTTGCTGGCTGCTTATCTGTCTGTCTGGAATGCATCTGAAAGCCCCGTATGAAGCATGGTAACGTTGACAGTGTTGAATTCCTGGTAAACCCAAACAACCTATCCCTCTCTCCCTTTGTCCCTGTGTTTGTCCCTGTGTGTGTTCCTGTGTATCCTGTGTATGTGTATGTGTGCGTCCAGCCGTCCAGAAGATGGCTGAGGCACACATGCAGAACCTGGGTGTCTACCCCCCCTTGGAAGACCCCTTTGAGGGGGAGGAGTACAACGACTACCCCTGTCATGAGGAAAGGGAGGAAAGATTCCCCACCAAAGCTGCTGGTGAGATAGGGATTCCATACACTGTCAACCAGTAACACACTATATACACTCACTCATATAAATAGTTGCATTGATGCTTTGACCAATGGTAGAACCTGCTTACATGTTTAGCTGTGTGTACAGCCGTTGTTATTCAGTGCCCACTTTTAAGTCAAATGGGCTGAACGCACTATGCCACCTTCATGGTTTTAAAATAGCAGGGCCTCAGATAAACACTTCTCTACAAACAAGTAGCAGTGGTGTTATATTAGCACATATTAGCATCACTCCACCAGGCAGACCTCCCTGAGCTCCCATCCTGCCCTGTGCCAGTCAGAGGCCAGAGATGCCATGGCTAACAGGCTAACAGTCTATCTGCTCTCTCTGTGGCATCAGTACTGATGCTGGGCTGCCAGCCCAGATGGCATAGCTTCCTAATGAAATCCCTCCTGTAGCATCGTTAAACGCTGTTTCATTGGCTGTTACTGTCATCATTTTCCAATAAATCTGTAGTTTGATCGCAACACGGCTACAGAGTAGCTGTAGTGTCACACATCGAGAGACAGGGACTCTTAAAGATACATTGAAGTAGACAGTGATTATCATCACTGGAGCAATTGCTTAATTAGGCCTGCATACACATGCACATTTACACAGAAGTCACTTTCATATGCACTGGTATGATTCAGACCTGTATACCATATACCATATGTGCACACACATGTACTTCTACACACACACTCACAGGAGGCACATGCCTGACCAGGAAAATGACAGGTAGAACCAGATTACCATAGACTGGTTTGGGAGTAGAGTTATTATGATGTCCCATGAATTGATGAACCTGTTTTCCCTAGTGTTGTTGGTTTACCTTCCCTGCATGTCTTTTATACAACATCAAAATCCACAAATCTAAGTAGTCATCAAGCTTACTTGTGTAAAAGGTTAGTGGTTTGATTCGAAGGAGACCAGTGTGTACTGCTGTTCTTTGACATCACCTCTTGTCTCCTTAGATCCCCAAGCGACCAGCACCATAGACCAATCAGAGAAGCCGGAGGAAGAGGAAGAGGAGGAAGAGAAAGAGAAAGGAGAGGAGAAAGAGGAGGAAAAGACGGAAGAAAAGTCAGAGGAGAAGGCAAAGAAAGTGCGCAAAAGTGTAAAGTTTTAAGACAACTTTGAACAAAAACAAATAAAGGGAGAGACGGATGGTTGCAGATGTGTGAATGATTGAGTGTAAATACAACTGTTTTGCTTCTATGCACATAGCGAGAGAGAGAGAAAGAGAGAGAGAGAGAGAGAGAGAGAGAGAGAGAGAGAGAGAGAGAGAGAGAGAGAGAGAGAGAGAGAGAGAGAGAGAGAGAGAGAGAGAGAGAGAGAGAGAGAGAGAGAGAGAGGATATAATGATTGCATATAAATACTAGATATGACCCTTATGAAGAGGTGAGGAGTGATACAACACTAGGTCATAAAGAGCAGACTGCAGCCCCAGTTTCTCCTTAGAACTAATGAGACTAGTAGATAGGGCAAGGTCACCAAGGTCACTCTGACCTTGAGGTCCCTCACTGCAAAACTAGTCTTCTCTTCCATGTCAGGGGAACATTCACTTCTCACTTTCTTACTTTGCTCTTTAATAACTACACATGACACTCAAAATAACTGTACATGGACAAATGCTGATGAACAGCTTCAGTATAGTGCACCCCCCCCCCCCCCCCACACACACACACACACACACACACACACACACAGAGGAGATTTCATCAGTCTCTGACTATCGGTTCAGACTATATTCTAAAGCTTCTCCATTACTGTGCAGATATGATAATACAGACTGACTCCCATATGAGTTCCTTTCAAAATCACAAAGACCTGTATCATGTGTTCCAAATATCTCTGCAGCGTAATCATATTGAGATATTGTCCTTGGAAGAAGTGAGCAGCTACTGCCATCTTGTGGCAAGATAGGGGATGTAGAATAACAAGTATTTAACCAGTATACAAGTATTTATCAATATTGATTTATATACAATAGACTGTGCACTGCATAGGCCTTCAGATAATATGCATCTATATAATTGAAATGATCTAGATTTGTAATGTATTCTAAACATTAATTTGTGATGCATTTAAAGTTATTTTTGGTGCCCATCAAAGGTATTTGTGTCAATGATGTACTCTGGGTGTATGTGAGGATGCCATGCTTTTGTAAAAGTAGTTTTTTGTGAGGAAGAAAAATGTATTCATTTTGTATACAGAATCAGAATCGTATTGTTTGGTCGTCTGTTTGTTTAAATATTTCCTGTGTAAAGACGTTTTAACCAACTTAGCTGTACAGTGGGGAAAAAAGTATTTAGTCAGCCACCAATTGTGCAAGTTCTCCCAGTTAAAAAGATGAGAGAGGCCTGTAATTTTCATCATAGGTACACGTCAACTATGACAGACAAAATGAGAAAAAAAATCCCATTGTAGGATTTTTTATGAATTTATTTGCAAATTATGGTGGAAAATAAGTATTTGGTCACCTGCAAAAAGCAAGATTTCTGGCTCTCACAGACCTGTAACTTCTTCTTTAAGAGTCTTCTCTGTCCTCCACTCGTTACCTGTATTAATGGCACATGTTTGAACTTGTTATCAGTATAAAAGACACCTGTCCACAACCTCAAACAGTCACACTCCAAACTCCACTATGGCCAAGACCAAAGAGCTGTCAAAGGACACCAGAAACAAAATTATAGACCTGCACCAGGCTGGGAAGACTGAATCTGCAATAGGTAAGCAGCTTGGTTTGAAGAAATCAACTGTGGGAGCAATTATTAGGAAATGGAAGACATACAACACCAATGATAATCTCCCTTGATCTGGGGCTCCACGCAAGATCTCACCCCGTGGGGTCAAAATGATCACAAGAACGCTGAGCAAAAATCCCAGAACCACACGGGGGGACCTAGTGAATGACCTGCAGAGAGCTGGGACCAAAGTAACAAAGCCTACCATCAGTAACACACTACGCCGCCAGGGACTCAAATCCTGCAGTGCCAGACGTGTCCCCCTGCTTTTGCCCCCGCACATTGACTCTGCACCGGTACCCCCCTGTATATATAGCCTCCCTACTGTTATTTTATTTTACTTCTGCTCTTTTTTTCTCAACACTTTTTTTGTTGTTGTTTTATTTTTACTTTTTTTGTTAAAAATAAATGCACTGTTGGTTAAGGGCTGTAAGTAAGCATTTCACTGTAACGTCTGCACCTGTTGTATTCGGCGCATGTGACCAATAACATTTGATTTGATTTGATTTGATTTGATTTGAAGCCAGTACATGTCCAGGCCCGTCTGAAGTTTGCTAGAGTGCATTTGGATGATCCAGAAGAGGATTGGGAGAATGTCATATGGTCAGATGAAACCAAAATATAACTTTTTGGTAAAAACTCAACTCGTCGTGTTTGGAGGACAAAGAATGCTGAGTTGCATCCAAAGAACACCATACCTACTGTGAAGCATGGGGGTGGAAACATCATGCTTTGGGGCTGTTTTTCTGCAAAGGGACCAGGACGACTGATCCGTGTAAAGGAAAGAATGAATGGGGCCATGTATCGTGAGATTTTGAGTGAAAACCTCCTTCCATCAGCAAGGGCATTGAAGATGAAACGTGACTGGGTCTTTCAGCATGACAATGATCCCAAACACACCGCCCGGGCAACGAAGGAGTGGCTTCGTAAGAAGCATTTCAAGGTCCTGGAGTGGCCTAGCCAGTCTCCAGATCTCAACCCCATAGAAAATCTTTGGAGGGAGTTGAAAGTCCGTGTTGCCCAGCGACAGCCCCAAAACATCACTGCTCTAGAGGAGATCTGCATGGAGGAATGGGCCAAAATACCAGCAACAGTGTGTGAAAACCTTGTGAAGACTTACAGAAAATTTGACCTGTGTCATTGCCAACAAAGGGTACATAACAAAGTATTGAGAAACTTTTGTTATTGACCAAATACTTATTTTCCACCATAATTTGCAAATAAATTCATTAAAAATCCTACAATGTGATTTTCTGGATTTTTTTTTCTCATTTTGGCTGTCATAGTTGACGTGTACCTATGATGAAAATTACAGGCCTCTCTCATCTTTTTAAGTGGGAGAACTTGCACAATTGGTGGCTGACTAAATACTTTTTTCCCCCACTGTATATGGTCTCTCTCTGTTGAACAGCTATCACAATGTTTAGTAACCTTTCAGTCATGGCTTGGATAACTGTGTTTTTCTTATTCTCATGAAAAACAATACAGACAATAAAATACATGGTGAATCTCTGTCTCTCTCTTCCTGCTGAAATGGAATAACACATTTGAATATTTAAATATTCACCTTCAGAATGTCATTTTCATCATGTACTCATTGATAATGTCAGTCTAATAAACAGTTTTCTTTATTTCTATCACATCTGTTCTCCAACTAAAGGATTGCTTGGGTCAGCTGAATACATTTTGATAGTCACAGTTGAATGTCTCAATGTGCACCAACTGTTAATATAATGTAATTGTTTTGATTCTCTTTTTGTTGGACAATTGAACTTTTGTATGCTCTTTTCTCTTGCCTGGGTGTTTGGGCTGGGCAGCCCTTTAACGTTTTGGGACATATGGCACCTACTCCCTCCATTCTCTCACTGTCTGGCTGGAGTGAGCATCCTCTCCTTCTCTAAGTCTCTCTATCCTCCATGGTCAATAGACGAGTGCCATGGAAAGACTGAACTCTAATCCACACTATTCTTCTTTATTTCACTTTTTGTTTTCATTCTTTTTTCTGTACTTGTTAAAGATGTAGACATTTCAATGTGAGCAACAATAACAATATCTAAATAAACACATTTTCCTTATTTGAAATGACTTTGTGTGTGTGTGTGTGTGTGTGTGTGTGTGTGTGTGTGTGTGTGTGTGTGTGTGTGTGTCACAGGAGGTTGGTGGCACCTTAATTGGGGAGAACAGGCTCGTGGTAATGACTGGAGCGGAATAAGGTGGAATGGTATCAAATACATCAAACACATGGTTTCCAGGTGTTTGATGCCATTCCATTTGCGCGTTCCGGCCATTATTATGAGCCGTTCTCTCCTCAGCAGCATCCACTGGTGTGTGTGCGTGTGTATTTGTGCGCTCATGCCTGCATTCCTTGTGGATCTGTGATGAACATAAAAAGTAATCGTCACAGTAATACACAAGGACACAGCTTGGATGAAGGGATTCGGTTTGTTCTGGTGTGTGAAACTAATCCTAAAACTTTAAAAATATACTTAGAAAATTAGTTGTTGTTTTTTTTATTTAAAAAAATATATGGCCTTAATTATGGGTACTACCCCACCACAAAAAAAAATTCCACAAGTGGTCCGTATTTCACAGCCCATGATTGAATGAATGACCATGATCCACATTCCAGAAGGAATTCTGATCCTTGGAATTCTGTTTGGTTGCTTCTCAGATGGTATGTTGGTCAAGTGGAGCTTGTCAGAAAACACCCGCTTGGAAAACCAAACTAGCAAAGTCAGCTGATGACAAATTACAAAACAGGCTTCCTAGAAAGTAGGCTAATTCATTTATTTGGAGTGACAAATTATTGCAACAATAGACAAATATAATGGTAGGTCCTTTAATATTGCATTTGTCTGGACTTGTAAGCCAAACGTAGCTTAAGTAGCCTACTGCTACTGTTGTCAGATGAAAAACAAATAGCTTACATCGTACCACCATAGACATTAAAGCCAGTTTACCACAAGTCTAAACCGGAAGTGAGATAGTGACCCGTTTCATGTAAAAGTATCCCGGAAGATAAGTTCGTCGATGATGATGTACTAAATCAGGTGAGTTAAAGGCTGAGGACTACAGTTTTCCCTTATTAAATTCAAACCAATTTCGTGTGGTCATTGTTCAGATGTGAAATTTGTATCCTATGTATTTATGTTTAATTGTAATATATTCATGAGAATGGGGTGTATACTGTGGCTATGTTATTAGCTAGCTAATGCTAAAGACAGCGCTAACACTGTTGTTTTCTCCACTTGTTATGCAAGCCTGTATCAATTCAATATTACCCCCAGTATTATATATACTAATTGTACATGTGTGTACGGAAACGGAACCTGCATGTATTGCTAAGCCAGTTGTAGCTAGCCAGTTTCAGTTTATGTGTCAGCTAGCTAGCTGGTTAGCTAGCAATCTACTGTCTGTAGCTAGTTAGCTAACGTTATATTTTTTTTATATACCCTAGTTTCTGTCCAGTTTTAGTACCATTTCTAATGCAGTGATTTGTGTCGACTTGTTTTGATATGACTCTGTCTGAGTCATAACTCAGTCAACTTGGTCACTTATGTAATGTGGCTGACGGTACACAGGCCAGATCTCAGGATTAAGTTGTTTGTCTGTATGAGGGTAATTTAGCCTAATGTGTTCAGTGAGTCTTCAACCACAATGCAAATTGATGCATTCTATGCTAATCAATACTGTAAATAGGCCTACTCAGAATCGGATAAATCAACAGCATTTATTGTTATCTCTAACAGTCCAATGATTTGTGTTTACTTTATTAGAGGGTGGGGCCTGCCATCACAGTGACGATCAAGTCTTGATGATTGACAAAATCTATCATCTTTACCCTTTCCGTGCATGTATGCACTTGCGCTGACTTTTTACTGAAAACACTGTGTTGTGTTAAGTTTTCCTTGTGGGGTATTTCCATTTGAATTCAACCACTTTTTGACAGCACCCCTTTTGATTTTAACGAAACCTATACATATTTGCCCATGGTAGAAGTGGTCAGAAATTACCCTTTTGGACCTGAATGCCAAAACATCCAAGAGATAAAGGTGCTCAAAGTTGACCCATTTTTGCATACCCCACCATACCATGAGACATCCATATCTTCATCACTGGAAAAGATAAACGGTTGAGATTGATATCATTTAAAAGCTTACAAACAGGGTATTGGAAAGTTGATAAGATCATCAGGCAATCATTTTGTATGATCTTCTGTCTAGAATAGAACATCATCATTGATGATGATCAAATCTAATTTTAATGGTTGCCTATACACATAATTAGCAGATGTCAGTGAAATGCTTGTGTTCCTAGCTCCAACAGTGCAGTAATATCTAACAATACAAACGAATCAAAAGTAAATGAATGGAATTAAGAAATATTAGGACGAGCCATGTCAGAGTCCTGAGTATAAATAAATATATGTGTGTTTGTGATGGGATGTATAGACAGTATGTGGATAGAATATGTAGTATATCTGATGAATACGTAGGATAGAATAGTATATGTACAGCAATAGTTGAATAGGATGGCCTTGACTAGAATACTGTATATACATATGAAATGGGTAAAACAGTATGTAAACATCATTAAAGTGACCAGTGTTCCATGTCTATGTATATAGGGCAGCAGCCTCTAAGGTGCAGGGTTGAGTAACCGGGTGGTAGACGGCTAGTGACAGTGACTATTTCAGGGCAGGGTGCTGGGTGGAGGCCGGCTAGTGATGGCTATTTAACAGTCTGATGGCCTTGAGATGGAAGCTGTTTTTCAGTCTCTCGGTCCCAGCTTTGATGCACCTGTACTGAACTCGCCTTCTGGATGATAGCGTGGTGAACAGGCCGTGGCTCGGGTGGCTGAGGTCCTTGATGATCTTCTTGGCCTTCCTGTGACACCGGTGCTGTAGATGTCCTGGAGGGTTGGCAGTGTGCCCCCGGTGATGCGTTGGGCAGACCACACCACCCTCTGGAGAGCCCTGCGGTTGCGGACGGTGCAGTTGCCGTACCAGGCGGTGATACAGCCCGACAGGATGCTGTCAATGGTGCACCCGTAAAAGTTTGTGAGGGTCTTAGGTTCCAAGCCAAATGTCTTCAGCCTCCTGAGGTAATAATTAGTTAACATTTACATTTACATTTCAATGGTGTATCAACTAAATTGCAGTGCTCTGAAGGGATAGGTCCATTCTATGAATTCTATTTCTATGATTGAAGTGACATCCACCCTGTATTCAAGAGCATGTTGAGTCTCAACCGATGGCGGGCAGAACACAAAAATCTCAAATGACGTGAAATAGGGTCTAAGCTACAACAAACACTACATGGCCAAAAGTATGTGGGCACCCCTTCAAATTAGTGGATTTGGCAATTTCAGCCACACCCATTGCTGACAGGTGTATACAGTTGAGCACATAGCCATGCAATCTCCATAGAAAAAACATTGGCAATAGAATGGCCTGTACTGAAGAGCTCAGTGACTTTCAACGTGGCACCGTCATAGGATGCCACCTTTCCAACAAGTCAGTTTGTCAAATTCCTGCCCTTCTAGAGCTGCCCTGGTCAACTGTAAGTGCTGTTATTGTGAAGTGGAAAAGTCGAGGAGCAACAACGGCTCAGCTGCGAAGTGGTAGGCCACACAAGCTCACAGAACGGGACCGCTGAAGTGCCTAAAATTTGTCTGTCCTCAGTTGCAACACTCGCTACCGAGTTCCAAACTGCCTCTGGAAGCAAAGTCAGCACAATAACTGTTTGTCGGGAGCTTCATGAAATGGGTTTCCATGGCCGAGCAGCTGCACACAAGCCTAAGATCACCATGCTCAATGCCAAGCATCGGCTGGAGTGGTGTAATGCCTGCCGCCATTGGACTCTGGAGCAGTGGAAATGCGTTCTCTGGAGTGATGAATCACGCTTCACCATCTGGCAGTCCGATGGACGAATCTGGGTTTGGCGGATGCCAGGAGAATGCTACCTGCCCCAATGCATAGTGCCAACTGTAAAGTTTGGTGGAGGAGGAATAATGGTCTGGGGCTGTTTTTCATGGTTCGGGCTAGGCTCCTTAGTTCCAGTGAAGGGAAATCTTAACGATACAGCATACAATGACATCCTAGATGATTCTGTGCTTCCAACTTTGTGGCAACAGTTTGGGGAAGGCCCTTTCCTGTTTCATCATGACAATGCCTCCGTGCACAAAGCGAGGTCCATACAGAAATGGTTTATTGAGATCGGTGTGGAAGAACTTGATAGGCCTGCACAGAGCCCTGACCTCAACCCCATCGAACACCTTTGGGTTGAATTGGAACGCAGACTGCGAGCCAGGCCTAATCGCCCAACCTCACTAATGCTCTTGTGGCTGAATGGAATCAAGTCCCAGCAGCAATGTTCCAACATCTAGTGGAAAGCCTTCCCAGAAGAGTGGACGCTGTTATAGCAGCAAAGGGGGGGACCAACTCCATATTAATGCCCATGATTTTGGAATGAGAGATGTTCGATGAACATGTGTCCACATACTTTTGGCCATGTAATGTATGAGTACAGTTGAAGTCGGAAGTTTACATACACTTAGGTTGGAGTCATTAACTCGTTTTTCAACCACTCTTCAAATTTCTTGTCAACAAACTATAGTTTTGGCAAGTTGGTTAGGACATCTACTTTGTGCATGACACAAGTAATTTTTCCAACAATTGTTTACAGACAGATTATTTCACTTATAATTCACTGTATCACAATTCCAGTGGGTCAGAAGTTTACATACACTAAGTTGACTGTGCCTTTTAAACAGCTTGGAAAATTCCAGAAAATTATGTCATGGCTTTAGAAGCTTCTGATAGGCTAATTTACATAATTTGAGTCAATTTGAGGTGTACCTGTGGATGTATTTCAAGGCCTACCTTCAAACTCAATGCCTCTTTGCTTGACATCATGGGAAAATGAAAATAAATCAGCCAAGACCTCAGGAATTTTTTTGTAGACCTCCGCAAGTCTGGTTCATCCTTGGGAGCAATTTCCAAACGCCTGAAGGTACCACGTTCATCTGTACAAAAAATTGTACGCAAGTATAAACACCATGGGACCATGCAGCCGTCATACTGCTCAGGAAGGAGAAGCGTTCTCTCTCCTAGAGATGAACGTACGTTAGTGCAGAAAGTGCAAATCAATCACAGAACAACAGCAATGGACCTTGTCAAGATGCTGGAGGAAACAGGTACAAAAGTATCTATATCCACAGTAAAATTAGTCCTATATCGACATAACCTGAAAGGCCGCTCAGCAAGGAAGAAGCCACTGCTCCAAAACCGCCATCAAAAAGCCAGACTACGGTTTGCAACTGCACATGGGGACAAAGATCGTACTTTTTGGAGAAATGTACTCTGGTATGATGGAACAAAAATAGAACTGTTTGGCCATAATGACCGTCGTTATGTTTGGAGGAAAAAGGGGTCCGCTTGCAAGCCGAAGAACACCATCCCAACCGTGAAGCATGGGGGTGGCAGCATCATGCTGTGGGGGTGCTTTGCTGCAGGAGGGACTGGTGCACTTCACAAAATAGATGGCATCATGAGGAAGGAAAATTATGTGGATATATTGAAGCAACATCTCAAGACATCAGTCAGGAAGTTAAAGCTTGGTCGCAAATGGGTCTTCCAAATGGACAATGACCCCAAGCATACTTCCAAAGTTGTGGCAAAATGGCTTAAGGACAACAAAGTTAAGGTATTGGAGTGGCCATCACAAAGCCCTGACCTCAATCCTATAGAAAAGTTGTGGGCAGAACTGAAAAAGCGTGTGCGAGCAAGGAGGCCTACAAACCTGACTCAGTTACACCAGCTCTGTCAGGAGGAATGGGGGGAGAAGCTTGTGGAAGGCTACCTGACACGTTTGACCCAAGTTAAACAATTTAAAGGCAATGTTACCAAATACTAATTGACTGTATGTAAACTTCTGACCCACTGGGAATGTGATGAAATAAATAAATCATTCTCTCTACTATTATTCTGACATTTCACATTCTTAAAATAAAGTGGTGATCCTAACTGACCTAAGACAGGGCATTTTTACTAGGATTAAATGTCAGGAATTGTGGAAAACTGAGTTTAAATGTATTTGGCTAAGGTGTACAGTGAGGGAAAAAAGTATTTGATCCTCTGCTGATTTTGTACGTTTGCCCACTGACAAAGACCTGATCAGTCTATAATTTTAATGGTAGGTTTAGTTGAACAGTGAGAGACAGAATAACAACAAAAAAATCCAGAAAAACGCATGTCAAAAATGTTATAAATTGATTTGCATTTTAATTAGAGAAATACGTATTTGATCCCTCTGCAAAACATGACTTAGTACTTGGCTGCAAAGCCCTTGTTGGCAATCACAGAGGTCAGACGTTTTTTGTAGTTGGCCACCAGGTTTGCACACATCTCAGGAGGGATTTTTTTTTTGTCCCACTCCTCTTTGCAGATCTTCTCCAAGTCATTAAGGTTTCGAGCCTGACGTTTGGCAACTCGAACCTTCAGCTCCCTCCACAGATTTTCTATGGGATTAAGGTCTGGAGACTGGCTAGGCCACTCCAGGACCTTAATGTGCTTCTTCTTGAGCCACTCCTTTGTTGCCTTGACTGTGTGTTTTGGGTATTTGTCATGCTGGAATACCCATCCACGACCCATTTTCAATGCCCTGGCTGAGGGAAGGAGGTTCTCACCCAAGATTTGACGGTACATGGCCCCGTCCATCGTCCCTTTGATGCGGTGAAGTTGTCCTGTCCCCTTACCAGAAAAACACCCCCAAAGCATAACCACCTCCATGTTTGACGGTGAGGATGGTGTTCTTGGGGTCATAGGCAGCATTCCTCCTCCTCCAAACACGGCGAGTTGAGTTGATGCCAAAGAGCTCGATTTTGGTCTCATCTGACCACAACACTTTCACCCAGTTCTTCTCTGAATCATTCAGATGTTCATTGGCAAACTTCAGTCGGGCCTGTATATTTGCTTTCTTGAGCAGGGGGACCTTGCGGGCGCTGCAGGATTTCAGTCATTCACGGCGTAGTGTGTTACCAATAGTTTTCTTGGTGACAATGGTCCCAGCTGCCTTGAGATCATTGACAATATCCTCCCGTGTAGTTCTGGGCTGATTATTCACCGTTCTCATGATCATTGCAACTCCACGAGGTGAGATCTTGCATGGAGCCCCAGGCCGAGGGAGATTGACAGTTCTTTTGTGTTTCTTCCATTTGCGAATAATCGCACCAACTGTTGTCACCTTCTCACCAAGCTGCTTGGCGATGGTCTTGTAGCCCATTCCTGCCTTGTGTAGGTCTACAATCTTGTCCCTGACATTCTTGGAGAGAGTTTGGAATCTGATTGATTGATTGATTGCTTCTGTGGACAGGTGTCTTTTTATACAGGTAACAAACTGAGATTAGGAGCACTCCCTTTAAGAGTGTGCTCCTAATCTCGGCTCGTTACCTGTATAAAAGACACCTGGGAGCCAGAAATCTTTCTGATTGAGAGGGGGTCAAATACTTATTTCCCTCATTTAAAATGCAAATCAATTTATAACATTTTTGACATGCGTTTTTCTGGATTTTTTTGTTGTTATTCTGTCTCTCCCGAGTGGCGCAGTGGTCTAAGGCACTGCATCGCAGTGCTAGCTGTGCCACTAGAGATCCTGGTTCGAATCCAGGCTCGTCCAGGGTAGGGGAGGGAATGGCCGGCAGGGGATGTAGCTCAGTTGGTAGAGCATGGCGTTTGCAACGCCAGGGTTGTGGGTTCAATAAAATAATGTATGCGCTAACTGTAAGTCGCTCTGGATAAGAGCGTCTGCTAAATGACTAAAATGTAAATGTCTCTCACTGTTCAAATAAACCTACCATTAAAGTTAGAGACTGATCATTTCTTTGTCAGTGGGCAAATGTACAAAATCAGCAGGGGATCAAATACTTTTTTCCCTCACTATGTAAACTTCCGACTTCAACTGTATATGAAGAAATCAGCGTTTAAAAATAACATTTTATGTAACTTTTTTTTTCAAGAAATAGTAAAATGGTTTGAAAACACTGTTTGTAAGCTTTTAAATTATAGCAAACGCAACCGTTTATCTTTTCCAGTGATGAAGACATCAATGTCTCTTGGTATGGTGGGGTATGCAAAATGGGTCAACTTTGAGCACCTTCATCTTCTGAATGTTTTGGCATTCAGTACCAAAAAGTCACTTTCTGACCTTTCTTACATGGGCAAACATGAATGGAAAGTTTTGTTGAAATGAAAAGGGATGCTGTTAAAAAGTGATTGAATTCTAATATTTTTACCCTGTGATGATTTTTCTCTTCTTATACCCCTAAACACTGGGCCAGTTTCCCAGACACAGATACTCCATTAAAATAGCTTTTTAGTCAAGGACTAGGCTTAATCTGCTTCTGGGAGACCAGCCGAACTCTTTCACTGGCCACACCTCACCATTACTCCCCCTCTTTCTGTCCCAGGTGGATCGACCCCTCTCTCAGTAGGAATGCCGGGCGGAGTGGACAATGGGGAGTTTAGGGGGAGCCTTCCTGCCATCGCCTCTCTGAATGCGTCCTACTCCACCTCTGTATCCCTCCCCTCTCCCCACTACCTGGTGGTGCCCCCTGGGGAGAAGAAGGTCATCTCGGACGTCCGTCGCACCTTTTGCCTCTTCGTCACATTTGACCTCCTCTTCATCTCCCTGCTGTGGATCATCGAGCTCAATGTGAGGTCACCTGTTGTCAATCTATTTCTACTCTCTCATCTATTGTTGCTTTCTCTCATGTCTCACTTGTTGGTCTCTGCCCCTTGTTTTAGACAATTTTTTTCAGGATCACTCTCCGTACTTGTTTTCACTGTTCTACATTATGTCCATTGTGTATATTAAGAACACCTTCCTAATATTGAGTTGCATTTTTAATTTAACAAGTGACATCAATAAGGGATCATAGGTTTCACCTGGTCAGTCTTTCATGGGTGTTCTTAATGTTTTGTATACTCGGTGTATTGCTCTTCTTCTCTCTTTACCACTTCCTTTTAAAAATGTCAACAAGATTATTAGTCAGATTCCCAGCAGAGCTGTTAACAGTTATAGGTTAATAGGTTATTTGCTCTCAGTGTGTGTCCGTTACTGTCTCTCATCATGTCAGCGTTCCCTGATGATGATGGTATGTATGTATGTATGCATGTATGTATGTTTTAGGAAGAGCTTGCCTCTGGCTGCATGTTTTACATATGGTTCAACTCTTGCTTTGTCCCACTGCAGATCAATAACTCCATTTGGCAGAGCCTTGAGCTGGAGGTTGTCAAGTACAACTTCCAGTCCTCCTTCTTTGACATATTTGTGAGTGTAAACGGTCATGCTATAATTTGAATAGGTCAGAAAGTCATACGTTTTAATGAACTGAACATACTGTCAAGGTTATTCACATGCCGATGCTTGCCTTTATTGAAAGCAAAGTCAACATGGCCAGCTCTCATGATCAGATACGGAAATAACGGAAGTTTTGCTCTCTTCTTGTTTGGCTTTTTCCTCCACCATAGCTCCTTGCCTTGTTTCGTTTCCTGTGTCTCCAGTTGGGCTATGCTGCCTTGCGCCTGAGGCACTGGTGGGTCATTGCGGTAAGAGAGCTCCTTGAGACAGACTGGTACCTAGATGGACTGGTGGTCATATGTGGTGTTCTGACTGCTCCCACCCAATGCCAGCTGTGAAAGCTCATGTTTTTAACAGTGTTTCATTCTCATAGATCACCACTCTAGTGACCAGCTCCTTCCTTGTAGCCAAAGTCATCCTCTCCAATGTGAGTGCCTCCCCCTCTCCTCTCATACCAGAAACAGTTTTGACTGAGCTCAACAGTTGTCTGTTTTCTGAGCCACTTCACATTTTCACTTAATTAGAACATTAATGTACTGTCAGTTTGTCTGCAGTTAACCTTTACTGTGTATTCAGCATGGTGGGGATTATACATTCAAATCTATTAGGATCTGAGTTAAGCCTTTCTTCTATCCTGTGTCTACACGCCTGCACCCACACACCCCTACAATCTCTTTGCTATTTATTTTTAACAAAGGGGAAGGTGACAAAATGTTGCTTTTGTCAAGATACTGCTCAGCATCATGTCTCAGAAATGGCAGAAGTAGTAGTGTTTATTCAAATGGCTGTCTACACAAGTGTATGGCTGAGTCCCAAATGCCACCCTTTCCTCTATAGTGCACTACTTTTGACCAGACCCCTATGGACCCTGGTCAAAAGTAGTGCACTAAATAGGGAATAGGGTGCCATTTGGGATGTAGCCTATATATACCATTTGTCTCAGACTGACATGTCATTCCTCACACAGCTGCTATCCCAGAATGCCTTTGGCTACGTGTTGCCCATCACATCCTTTGTGGTGGCGTGGCTGGAGACGTGGTTCCTGGACTTCAAGGTGCTCTCCGTAGAGGCTGGTGATGAGAGAGGTGAGTCACAGAGAGATGGATACATTTCAATGGGATCAACGGAAACTCCTGGACATGTTTGTTCAGTCATTTTGCCAGATAGGACATGAATATGCAAAAGATAAAGGAAATCCCCTCAGAAGGAGGAAGTGGGTTGTAGTTGAGGGACAGAAGTAGGGATGGAATGATGCATTGGATAATGGAATGGACAAAGAGGAGAGGAAGATATGTGGTCTTTTACTTCTCTCTTTATGGTCTCTGTCTCACTCAGCCTACCTAGCAGCAGTGAACGCAGCGTCGGAGCGAGCTCCCATGATCTACCCTCGCGCTGTGTCTGAAGGACAGTTCTACTCTCCACCTGAATCCCTTGCAGGTACCACACTACATCTCCATTTCTCTCTCTCCTTGTAATTCTCAATGTCTGTCTCTGTATCTTCCATGTCTGCTGTATCTCTTTCTCTTTGTTTCACCTCTGCACAGTCTCTTACCTAACTGTAATCTCCATGCTACCTGTGTGTGTGGTTGTGTTATGATGGCCAGGGTCTGAGGAGGACTGGGATGAGGAGGGGCTGGGTCGCAGGGCAGTCTCCCACCAGGAGAAGGAGCTGGTGAGGCAGGGTAAAGAGGCCATGGCTGTGGTGGAACAGATCCTGGCCCAGGAGGAGAACTGGAAGTTTCAGAAGAACAATGTAAGTGGCTCAAGTTCAGGGGTGTCAAACTCATTCCGTGAAGGGCTGAGTGTCTACTGGTTTTTGTTATTTCCTTTCAATTTGTGTCCAGTTAAGACCTAGACAACCAGGTGAGGGGAGTTCCTAACTAATCAGTGACCTTCATTGGTCAATCAAGTATGAGGGAGGAGGGAAAACCAGCAGACACTCGGCCCTCCATGGAATGAGTGACACTTGTGCTCTAGTTGCTTCTGGTTAGCTACTTGGTGTTGTACGCTGTTAGTCTGTGGTGTGGACACGAGGGTTTGATAATGACCGATTTACTGGATGTTGCTAAAATTACGTTGTTTCTCCTTTTGTCAGGACGCGGGGGATTCTGTGTACACACTGGAGATCCCCTTCCATGGAAAGACCTTCATTCTCAAGGTACACTGTCATTACTGTTTAATTTTGTGTATGGTCTTTGCTTTCATAACATGTGGCTTGTCTGGTGTAAGTATTTGGGACATTGGGCTATATATCGTATATTTGTGGTCTTCCTGGACGGTTTGATAGGTTTGGATTTATACCTATTGGTTTGTGTGTGGTGTATTTCCCAGGCCTTTATGCAGTGTCCAGCAGAGCTGGTGTACCAGGAGGTGATCTTACAGCCAGAGAAGATGGTCCATTGGAACAAAACTGTTTCTGGCTGCCAGGTAACCTGCACTATCCTCTCTCCTCTTTCTCATGACTGGTCATCAGACAAACAGGCTTAACCTAATACAGTGAACCTACTGTGAAAACTGTTTTATTATGATTCAGATAAGTTGTTGTGGCCTGTACGATGCCAAAGGGTGACGTTGCTCTTCATTTGTTCCTTTAGATCCTCCAGAGGGTTGATGACAACACGCTGGTGTCGTACGATGTCTCTTCCGGGGCAGCAGGGGGGGTAGTGTCTGCCAGGTAACTCAACACAACATGGACTACCTCGAATATGGCAGCCACCCTGTTCCCTATGTAGTGCACTTCTCTTGCGGGCCTGGTCAAAAGTAGTACATTATATAGGGTGCCATTTATATAGGGTGCCAACCCTCGTTTTGTCCATGTAAAAGTAATTAATGTCCTTGTCTCCCTCAGAGACTTTGTGAATGTGCGGCGGGTGGAACGCAAACGAGACTGCTACATCTCTGCTGGCATGGCAACCGACCATGACGCCAAGCCTCCGCACAGTCGCTATGTCAGGTCTGGCCTTGCCTCTAGACAGCCTCATTTCACTGGGAACAATACTGAAAGCAAATCATGTCAACCAGACCATTCATGCTAGTTAATTAGCCGGTATGTGATACTACCATCCCTCTCCTCTAACTCTCTCTTCTCCTCTCCTCCCTACCATCCATCCCTCTCTCTTCTCTTCCCTAGAGGTGAGAATGGTCCAGGAGGGTTTGTGGTCCTGAAGTCCAGCAGTAACCCCTCGGTTTGTACCTTTATCTGGGTGCTCAACACAGACCTCAAGGTAAGAGCACACTGTTATGGAGGCTTCAATATCCTGACCTAGTGAGATATACATGGCGGAGACTCAATCAAGCTAGTCGTCTTGACTTCTTTCTTATGTCATTCTCGTTGGCACCAAAAGTTACAAAAGTGTTGATAGGGGACAGAATGCGGTCGGACCATCATATAATTGTCGCATACATTACACTTACCGAATTTCCACGTGGACGAGGATATTGGAAATGTAATCAAAGCCTATTGGATGATAACTTGTTTTTAACTAGGACAGAGGAATTTATGATTTTTTCCGACATAACATACGTACAGAAAATCCCCTTATTGTATTGGACACTTTTAAATGTGCCTTTAGGAGGCCATGGAATTCAGTACTCATCTCGAAAACAAAAGCAATTTAGGTTAAAAGAGTCCATACTAACAAAGGAAATAGAAGGTCTAACAGAACAGATAGATGGCAATATAAACTGTAACATAGAGGCTCAGAATAAATTAGAGGAAAAACAAAAAGAAATGGAGAAACTTATTCAAGAAAGATCAAGTGTAATATATTATAGAAATAAAACAAACTGGATGGAATATGGGGGAAAATGCACAAAATTATTTTTTAATCTTCAACATAGAAATGCTAACAAAAATAATTGAAACTGGTTACAAATGACGGAGTCACCCATGATTCACCAAATGATATGTTGAAGGAGGAAGCAAAGTACTTTAAGCATATGTTTTCGTTTCAGTTGCCTCCATCTCCTCTAACTGAAGCTAATTTTAGGGATTTTTTTTCTATTGATAATGTAAAATTAACAGCCGTACAGAAAGAATCATGTGAAGGTGAAATTACAGAGGAGGAAATTCTGGATGCAATTAAAGACTTTAAGTCCGGGAAAACTCCAGGGTTGGATGACATACCAGTCGAGGTATACCAAACCTTTTTTGATATACTCAGAGGACCGTTATTAGCATGTTTTAACCACTCCTATGTAAATGGTAGATTATCAGACACTCAACAAGAAGGTCTGATTTCATTATTACTGAAACAGTATACAAGTGGGAAATATAAAGATCCAGTCCATTTAAAAAAAATTGGAGGCCCCTTACACTTCAGTGTTGTGATGCAAACATTCTAGGAAAATGTATAGCGCATTGAATTAAAAAGGTATTGTCAGACATTATTCATTCTAATCAGACAGGTTTTTTACATGGACGATACATTGGAGATAATATAAGGCAAGTATTGGAAACAATAGAACACTATGAAACATCTGGGAAACCAGGCCTGCTAGACTTTGAAAAGGCATTTGATAAAGTACAACTGGAGTTTATATATAAATGCCTGGAGCATTTCAATTTTGGAGAATCTCTTATAAAATGGATTAAAATAATGTATAGTAACCCTAGGTATAAAATAGTAAATAATGGCTATTTCTCCGAAGGTTTTAAACTGTCAAGAGGAGTAAAACAAGGTTGTCCATATTATCGGCATATATATTTATTATAGCCATCGAAATGTTAGCTATTAAAATCAGATCCAGCAATAATATCAAGGGATTAGAAATCCAGGGCTTAAAAACAAAGGTGCCATTGTACGCTGATGATTGATGTTTTCTTTTAAATCCACAACTTGAATCCCTCCACAGCCTCATAGAGGATCTAGATACATTTTCTAACCTCTCTGGATTACAACCAAATTATGATAAATGTACTATATTACGTATTGGATCACTAAAATATAAAACATTTGCATTACCATGTAGTTTACCAATAAAATGGTCTGATGGTGATGTGGATATACTCGGAATACATATCCCAAATGAAATAAATGATCTCACTCCAATACATTTTAATAGAAAGTTAGCAAAAATAGATAAGATCTTGCTACCATGGAAATGTAAATACCTGTCTATTTGTGGAAAGATCACCCTTATTAACTCTTTAGTGTTTACCTATTTGCTTATGGTCTTGCCTACGCCTATCGAACAGTTTTTTTAAAAATTATATGAGAAAAAAATATTCCATTTTATTTGGAACGGCAAGTCAGACAAAATTAAACGGGCCTATTTATATAATGAATATGAATTCGGAGGACAGAAATGATTAAATATTAAAGCATTAGACCTATCACTAAAAGCTTCAGTCATACAAAAGTTATACTTAAATCCGAACTGGTTCTCTAGCAAATTAGTAAGATTGTCTCACCCCATGTTCAAGAATGGCCTTTTTCCCTTTATTCAGATTACAACCTCTCACTTTCAGTTATTTGAAAAGGAAATAATCTCCCAAATATCACTATTTCTAAAACAAGCCATAGAAAGTTGGTTGCAATTTCAATTGAATCCTCCAGAAATGACAGAACAAATAATGCAACAAATATTGTGGTTAAACTCAAATATACTTATTGATAAAAAAACATTATTTTTTGAAAAAATGTTTTTAGAAAGGTATAGTCTTCGTAAATGATATCATAGGTAGGACTGGTGGAGTTATGTCGCACATGCAGCTAACAAAAACATATGGAAATGTCTGCTCTACCCAAAATTACAACCAAATAATTGCAGCATTACCGCAAAAATGGAAGAGGAAGGTGGAAAAAGTAAGGAACTTGTCTGTCGGCCCTGCATTAAGGAACATAATTGGTTAAAGAAAATTGTGATAAATAAAAAAGTATACCAGTTTCATTTAAGGACCAAAGGATTGACAGCCGTCCCATATAGATTGCAAAATAGTTGGGAAGAGATTTTTGACGTACCGATTCCATGGCATAGTGTTTATGAACTGATACGCAAAACAACGCCGGATTCAAAACTTAGAATTGTTCAATTTAAATTACTATACAAAATTATTGCTACCAATAGAATGTTATTTATATGGGGGAGACAATCTTCCCAGCTCTGCAGATTTTGCTGCGAAGAGACAGAATCATTAGATCATTTGTTTTGGTACTGTCCATTTGTAGCTTGTTTTTGGACACAGGTCCAGGAATGGCTAAAGGATTGCAATATTTACCTGGAGCTAACCCTGCAGATAGCAATTCTGGGTGATCTGAAAAGTCATAGTCAATCGATCAATAATATAATAATACTTTTAGCAAAAAAATATATTTTCAATTTACAAACAGTAGAAACTATGAGAATAGAAGGGTTCAGAGCTTTTGTGAAACATCACAGTACAGTTGAAAAATATATGGCAAATAGAAATCCAAGATGGGTGGTGTTGAATGGAGCTGAAGGATGGGACTAATAACAACTAACAACAACTAATAACAACAAGATAACTAATGTAAAGCATACTGTGTCCATAATAAGTATATAGGTTATAGGCTGAGAGCTTTTGTGAAAGAGCACAGTTAGAAAGATAAGGCATATAGAAGCAAACCGGATGGACATCATGAAAATGATCGGAGAGTTTGAGGGTAGAGGAAGTTCAGGAGTAAAAACAAACAAAATAGAATTATTGTAAAATTGACTGTGTCCATAAAATGTATATAGTATGTATAAGCTGGAAGTAGAGGCCTAAGCATTGTTTTTCACTAGTTTACTCCAATTAGGGAAGGGGTCGTGTGGTTGGAAAGTAATAAATGGAAATATATATTTTTAAAGGATATGTGTATGTATGTAAAAAAAATAAAAAAAACACTTAAGAATGGTTTGTTTGTGCTTGTTGCTTTGATAGATTGTCTGTCAGCTGGAGAAGCAGAATAACTTTCATGTCTGATCTTGTTTTGTCTCAGGGTCGACTGCCCCGCTACCTTATCCACCAGAGTCTGGCTGCCACCATGTTTGAGTTCATGGCCCATCTACGCCAACGCATTGCTGACCTACGGTCCACTCGCTAGATGCCCTTTCACTTACTTCCTGTAGGGAAGCTGAATGCCTGCAATCCACAGCGCCACCACAGGTTTGAAGGCGTCACTGCAGATTTTTGGGAACACCTACAGTTGGAAGTGCACCTGAGATTATGGTGGATATCAAACTTACTTAGACTAGATGAAAGTCAACAGCATAGAGGATGGGAGACTGGTATGTCTGCACTTTTACCGGTCTTTTAGACGTGAGGAGGTCTGGGGCTGTCGGAGGAGACCTTCCTCCTCTCCCATAGACTCCATGTTGTTTTTAAACAGTTACACACATTTTTATGTAACTTTTCTGCTGTTTCTCTCACTGTGACGCCAGTGCTGGCTGCAACTCCCTCCAGCCAAGAAGTCTAACAGAGTTGAAAGTGTAATGGAGTTCGGACTGTGCTTGACGAGACTTGATGAAGGTGGACGTCTTTTTGACTGCGTAGGAAGAACTGGTACAATGACTGGGTTTGCTGCATCAAACCGCTAACTCTAACTCTGAGCCTTATTCTACTGTACATTTATATTAGCCATTGACTGGCTGTTTTTGCTTTTTTCTTGTTATTTTTCCACTGTCTTCACCGTGTTTCTCTGGTAACCGGGGAAACAGCTACACATGACCACATCTTAAACATAAATGGAACTGTTGGAACACAATGAACCCATAGTGTGTCCCTTTTTTCCTCGTTGACCCTCACTGCACTGTGATCCATGGAAGCAGACTGTAGGGGTGATGTGGTCCTCCAGCCACTAGAGGGCGACACCACCACTGATCTACTGACAACAGGAGACAACCTACTTAATGGAGCTCAAGATGGATGGTTTGATGAGTTATCGGTCGCTCATGGGTTCATAAAGAGATTCAGAAACTCTACTCCTCTGTGCCAAGCCTTTAGTGGCCTTTTTAGCTAGAGGGAATCTAACTGCCCTTAATGATGGTTGATCTAAATTGTAACTGTATTGGTAAATGTATCGCAGCCTTCTGAAATAAGCCTTTACTGCAGACATACTGTAGTTGGAAAAGTGGCAGTAAATGAATTATGTGATTCTGTATGTTTAACATTTATCATTGTGGTGGATGCAACATTTTAGGATCATTGAAATTGGCTATAATTGGAGTTCACTGATTCTCTACTGTCTGTATGTAACAAAAAAATAACAGCTCCTCAATGTCAAAGCATGCTGCCTCACATATCACAACCTTCAGCATGCTGTGTGCATGTTGATGCAGTGCTGAATGTCTGGTATGTCAGGTCATTGAACATTATGCTTGTGAGAACTCATGTTCCCCTCTCATGCCTTGCAGTCCTGTAAAAAAATTAAAGCATAATAGGGAATTGTTCTGTTTTTGGCTCCACTCTATTTTAGGGCCCTAGTTAACAGGCTTAGCGACATAATTATCCTATCAGGACAGAAACAAAACATGTTACATTTTTTTATGGGCTGTCTGAAAGTGAAAATAAGGTATTAGATTTCCATGAATATATATATATATTTTTGCCATCTGTGTGAGTGGGAGTTTCACACTTAAACCAGTTCTGTAAATCCCTTAACTAATAATTGGGCTGAGAAAGCGGTTGGTTGGTTTGGTGCCTTTGTCACAGTGACAGAAATGGGCATTGTGTCACTGTGACCACACTTTTCTTTAACTGTTAGGACTAATCTATTACTAGAATGTCACTTGTTTACTAAAGGTATGTGTTGCAAAGGTTGTTTCGTTTTCAGTTTTGTATGTTTTCATTTCTATGATTGTTCTGTTTTGAAATTATACATAAACTGCAGATCATTTACAAAAATGTGTCAATTTAAGATACTCTTCAAATATTTTACCAGGATACTGACCAAGATTAGCCCACCTTAAATCTTGTAATAAAAATGTGAAGTTAATTATTGATGAAACATCCTGACTCCCATTTCGCAGCCTTTCCAGTGAACTTACCCCTCAACCCTGTAACACAAACTACCACAAAATAACAGAGGGCTCTGTCCAAGATGCCTGGTTGAGTAGGTCATCCTGTAGGCCTACATAGATAGCCCAGATTTACAAAATGTACACTTGTGATATTAGGAGTGACTCCGCTGAAAAGGAAGATGTCACAGGGAAAGTGTCTGTGGTCGCAAGCAGTTGATTTCAAACCACTGAGTGTTAACTGAGTTGATGCAGGCAAAACACAAAATGGACTGGAACATGGAGGGACTACCTGGACTTGTCCACAGCAACCTTTGGGTTGCTAGACGTTCACGTTATACGGCGGACCAACCACGTTACTTTCGTTTTTGCCTTAAGTAACCTTGGGTGTTATGTAACCATACCAAACGTAAATCCGAGTGTCCTGGATTTTTGTTTACTAGTTTAAATGTTACACCTAGTTGTTTAAAAATTGTTGTTTTAAAACGTTTCCTATTGCATTCCCTAATGAACACGGCCCTGGTCACACTCCATTTCTCAGCCTCCCTCCCTCTTTCTCTACCATTTGTATGGCTCTCTGTGCACTCGTGCTTGAGGCTGAGGTGTTTTATGATTATAACACTGACTAAAGTTGGCCTCACATGCAAGTCACGCTCTCGTGAGAGCTCTCCATTAACGTTTACACTTTAATCTACTATATTGTCCTTTTTCGCCTTTTGGATGAGTGTGGTAGAGAACAAGATACAGAATTTGGGTAGAGATCATTTTGTGAACCAAGCATACCTTTAGTCTAGAATAAAAGGAGGTCCATTCTGCATGGATAGAATCGAAAGTATTTTTTATAATAGGAGCACTGATTTATGTTGTTTACTAATGAAACGGTTCTCTGATATTTTTTCTATTTTTCCATTTTACCATTTCAACTACAGTGCCTTGCAAAAGTATTCATCCCTCTTGGTGTTTTTCCTATTTTGTTGCATTACAACCTGTAATTTAAATGGAGTTTTATTTGGATTTCATGTAATGGACATACACAAAATAGTCAAAATTGGTGAAGTGAAATGAAAGAAATTACTTGTTTAAAAAAATTCTAAAAAATAAATAACGGAAAAGTGGTGCGTGCATATGTATTCACCCCCTTTGCTATGAAGTCCCTAAATAAGATCTGGTGCAACCAATTACCTTCAGTAGTCACATAATTAGTTAAATAAAGTCAACCTGTGTGCATTTTAAGTGTCACATAATCTCAGTATATATACACCTGTTCTGAAAGGCCCCAGCGTCTGCAATACCACTAAGCAAGTGGCACCATGAAGACCAAGGAGCTCTCCGAACAGGTCAGGGACAAAGTTGTGGAGAAGTACAGATCAGGGTTGGGTTAAAAAAAATGGCATGTGGGAGACTCTCCAAACATATGGAAGAAGGTGCTCTGGTCAGATTAGACTAAAATTGAGCTTTTTGGCCATCAAGGAAAACGCTATGTCTGGCGCAAATCTAACACCTCTCATCACTCCGAGAACACCATCCCCACAGTGAAGCATGGTGGTGGGGATGTTTTTCATCGGCAGGGACTGGGAAACTGGTCAGAATTGAAGGAATGATGGATGGCGCTAAATACAGGGAAATTCTTGAGGGAAACCTGTTTCAGTCTTCCAGAGATTTGAGACTGGGACGGAGGTTCACCTTCCAGCAGGACAATGACCCTAAGCATACTGCTAAAGCTACACTCAAGTGGTTTAAGGGGGAAACATTTAAATGTCTTGGAATGGCCTAGTCAATGAATGACTTAAAGATTGCTGTACACCAGCGGAACCCATCCAACTTGAAGGAGCTGGAGCAGTTTTGCCTTGAAGAATGGGCAAAAATCCCAGTGGCTAGATGTGCCAAGCTTATAGAGACATACCCCAAGAGACTTGCAGCTGTAATTGCTGCAAAAGGTGGCTCTACAAAGTATTGACTTTGGGGGGGGGGGGTGAATAGTTATGCACGCTCAAGTTTTCTGTTTTTTTGTCTTATTTCTTGTTTGCTTAACAATAAAAACTATTTTGCATCTTCAAAGTGGTAGGCATGTTGTGTAAATCAAATGATACAAACCCCCCAAAAATCTATTTTAATTCCAGGTTGTAAAGCAACAAAATAGGAAAAATGCCAAGGGGGGTGAATACTTTTGCAAGCCACTGTACGTGTAGAGTACAGCCAGCTTATTGGCCTAGGGGCGATGACAACTAACAACAAATATTTTACTGTGAAGAAGTACATTCCCTAATCAAACGCTTTTGTTTAATGAAAGCCCTCAATGCAATATGTAGCCTATGCTTATTTTATCTGGAGAATGTGTGGTTTTAAGTGTATGATTGGATGGATTACGGAGATAGGGATTGGGGTAGCAGGATGTGGGTAGCAAGGCTGCTGGGGGGCAGAGGATCGTTCAGCTCACATGACTGTGCTGTGACTGAGTTGGGTCTTTTGTGTGCATGTGGATCTGTGGTGATGAGTAAGAGGGGAGAAACGACTCAGTGCTCTCTTTGTGGTGAGACATTCCCTGGGTTATCCTCTCTTCCAGCTTCTCTTCTCTGATCCAGGAGGAAAGTCTCTGAGCCAGGATTTGGAGACCCTAACTAGCTACCTCTTCTGGACCTCAGACATCGGGACCTGGAAAGAGAAGAGGATCCCGCACCAGTATATACAGAGTGGATATCGGATGGAGATTGGAACCCATAGATCTGTAACTTTTGTATTTGGAAACTAATGTTGACTCAACTCTCTTTAGAATGGTTTCTGTCTGAACAGGATGTTTTTCTTCAAACACTCATTTTGTCAGTGTGGAGGCAGGGTATCAACAGAGTGAAAATCGTGGGCGTTCTACGGCTCTGTGAGTGCTTGGCAAACAGTGGATATTGTTTTGAATTCAAACTCAGAGGGAGTGACTAAGTTTCCAGGTCCGAGCCCTCATTCTACACCACTGTGTCACCTATCCTCAGCAGCCACAGCAGGGAACTGGGAGACAGAAAGAGGTGGAGATAGTGTGTTGGACTAAGTTCACCAGTGGAGCGGTCATTTTTTCCTTCTTACCTGTCCTGTACCTGGACAGGACTTGAGAAAGGGTACCGTATATCCTCTCTTGTTTGAAGAGTTTGACCATATCCGGACACTACACCTCTTTCTGCTCTCACACTATCTTCTCTTACCTCTCTACTTCCCTCTCACTCTCTCGCTCTGGCTCTCTCTCTCTATCAGAGATGGGAGCTGCCTTCAAGAGGTTCTGTGCTCGGTTCTGTTGCTGCTGTAGCGATGCTGAAAGTGAGGAGGAGAAGGAGCCTTTAATCAGGTATGCACACTTATCACCTGTAACAACCCATGACACCCCGACAAACTGACATACACACTAATCACCATGACACCCCGACAAACTGACATACACACTAATCACCATGACACCCCGACAAACTGACATACACACTAATCACCATGACACCCCAACAAACTGACATACACACTAATCACCATGACACCCCGACAAACTGACATACACACTTATCACAATGACAACCAATGACACCCCGACAAACTGACATACACACTATCACCATGACACCCCAGACAAACGACATACACACTTATCACAATGACAACCAATGACACCCCGACAAACTGACATACACACTTATCACCATGACACCCCAAAAAACTGATATACACACTTATCACAATGACAAACCATGACACCCCGACAAACTGACATACACACTTATCACAATGACAACCATGACCCACGACAAACTGACATACACACTATCACCATGACAACCCACAAAATGCATACATACACATCACCAATGACACCCCACAACTGACATTACACCATCCACCATGACCCGCAAACTGATATACACACTATCACAATGACAAACAGACAACCGACAAACTGACATACACACTCCTCCCCACGATATGACCAACACCATGACACCCCGACAACTGACATACACACTACAAATGCACCATGACAAACAATGGTCACATTCCTCAACTATCACCACCCCAAAGACATACACACATACCATGACACCCCAACACACTTACACCACCAGAGGCTGCTGAGGGGAGGATGGCTCATAATAATGGCTGGAACAGAGCCATGTGTTTGATATATTTGATACCATACCACTTATTCCATTCCAGCCATTACCACGAGCCCGTCCTCCCCAATTAAGGTGCCACCAACCTCCTGTGACTTACACACACTTATCGAGGTACATAATATAATGCTTATAAAACAAACAATGTCACAATTCCTCATCTGACTTCTCACCCTCATGTTTCTCCACACCAATTCATAGATTTGAGAGTCATGTCATGCTCTCCAACCACAACCCTCAGATTTAGTCACACTAGTGTAATATAGAGGTGTGGAACCAACAAAGATCCTCTCTGTATCTACTGAATTGAAAACAGCTTCACAATCATCCCGATTTTCACCTGATAGACCACGCTTGCTTATGTGTGTGTGTGTGTGTGTGTGTGTGTGTGTATCTCTGTGTGTGTCTATTTTTTTTTTTTGTCTATTGGTTTCAGTCCTGACACTTTGGAGTACTTTGACCGTGAGGCAAAGAAGCGGCGGGATCAGGAACAGAACCTATGGAGTGAGCCAGGCGACCCGAGCCACTCAGAGAGAGACGATGACCGGATCCTGTACAACCTCATCCAGAACAGGAACCAGACCCGCAGGGGCTCGCTGGTACCAGAGGAGGGACCCAGGGAGGGGGACAGGGAACACTTACTGTATGACAGCAGAGAGTTTGGGTCCCTAAGAGGGAGAAACAACCCACTGGGGACACACTGGTTGAATCAACGTTGAATTGACGTCTGTGCCCAGTGAGAGGTGGACAAAATGAGAAATCTGGGGAAAAGAGAGGCAGCGTGAAGTCATGCTAGATTGTCTGCTCTGTCTAATAGGTTTTGCAGGGCAGCATACAGCACTCTACCTCCATCAGTCAGTAGATGGTGCATTGAATGCCCTCTAGTATAATGTAGGCCTACCTTATCCAACTGGGTACCATGCCTGTCCTCCATTGTTGTCACCTGTTTGTTGGGTGAATGTGGTGCTATCTCACATCAGGCTTACTCTAGTTGATTGACTTGTGTTTGTGGTGATAGTTGTGTACTAGGTTAATCTGTTTTGTGTGTAACCCTGCACCCTTTCCCTCTGTAGGCGCACCGGCGCCTGAGTGTGGACATTGAGGGGATGAGAGATCTGCGTCGGGAGGTCAGGGACAAGTGGAAGATGATCCTGGAGAATTTAGGTGAGAGAGTAGGAATGGAAGGGTAAAATGAGGGTGATGGAGAACAAATTGAAGGGTAAGATAAGAGAAAGGCAAAATGAGTAAAATCTTGTCTCTGTAACCGTGAACTCTCATTGGCTCAGGGTTCATGGCGGAGGCGGAGTCTCTGCTGACGGTGTCTGCCAGTGCGTCGTATGACCGTATGAGGAATGCCTCGGCGTCACGCACACTACTGCACACGCTCCACTCTGAGACATCTATCTTCAACACACGGGAGGCCCCACCTGAGAGATACCTCTTCATACTGGTGAGAACAGAAACTAACAGAGGAGAGAAACTGTGTATTATGGTTATAACGTCTTCCCCTTCACTTCCTTCTCCAAATCACTTCCTGTTTGATGATGATGATGATGACCCTTATACCTCCCCTCTTCCTCTGTTTACTCTCTTTCTTCCTTCCCTCTTCGGGTCTTTTCTCCTCTTCCTTCACTCTTGGTTTTTCACCCTCTCCATCTTCCTCCCTCTTTCCCTCCTCTCTCCATCTTCCTCTCTCTTTCCCTCCTCTCTCCATCTTCCTCTCTCTTTCCTCTCCTCTCTCCTTCTCCTCTTCCTCCTCTTTCCTCCTCTCTCATCTTCCTCCTCTTTCCCTCCTCTCTCCATCTTCCTCTCTCTTTCCCTCCTCTCTCCATCTTCCTCTCTCTTTCCCTCCTCTCTCATCTTCCTCCCTCTTTCCCTCCTCTCTCATCTTCCTCCCTCTTTCCCTCCTCTCTCCATCTTCCTCTCCTCTTTCCCTCCTCTCTCATCTTCCTCCCTCTTTCCTCCTCTCTCCATCTTCCTCTCTCTTTCCCTCCTCTCTCATCTTCCTCCCTCCTTTCCTCTCTCTTCCTCCGCTCTCCATCTTCCTCTCTCTTTCCCTCCCTCTCTCATCTTCCTCCCTCTTTCCCTCCTCTCTCATCTTCCCGGAGTGCCTCCTCCTCCAAGCGCCATCAGAATATCGCCATTCCGCCCTCCATCTGCCAAGGTACATCCCTCTTGAGGGCGAACTCTCACGCCATCTCCTCCCTCTTTCCCTCCCTATCCAGCTCCCCCTCTTTCCCTCCTCTCTCCATATTCTCCCTTTCCCTCCTCTCTCACAATCTTCCTTCCCTCTTCCCCTTCTCTCTTTTCGTATAGGATCGTCTCATATACCTGGATGCTGCTGATGACTTCTTGGCGAAGGCTAGACGCTTCTACCCCAAGCGTGATACTGATGATGAAGATGAGGACAACCCGTTAGCCGTCAACCTGCCGTTGCTACTGGCCAGAGTGAACCGCACCATGAACGGAGGAGGGAGCGATGATGAGGATGAGAGGCTGGATGAGGGAGATGGGAGCGGAAGAGAAGAGGACAACTACTAGACAGAACAGGCGCTGCAATGACCTTTGACGGTAGACAGGGGGCAGTAGTTAGTTGTTTATGTTGCATAGTTGGGAGTATACAGTACCAGGATGTCTGATTCTGAATATACTCTGTTGAAAATACTCTCCCAATTTGCACTGACACTAGGGGCTCTATTCAATCTGTGTTGTTGAGGTGTTACAGATTGCGCGATAGAAATGTAAAGGTAATTTCTGATTGAACCGACATATGCAGCGTTTACCGTGAATGCAGTCTCCGCTAACACAGGAACATTGCCTTTACATTTCAATCCCGCTGTGACGCTGAACTTCCGCGATACGGATTGAATCGAGCCCTAGGTTTGAACAAAAATATACAGCTTTCCTTTCTCTTCATCAGAACCGTGATCCAATATGATTCTGTTTTTCTTCTTTTTCTGTTTAGGCAGACTTAGCTGGGTCTCAGGTATATTAGGGAGAGTTTTGGATGTTATCACCCTGTCATTTTTTATCCATCAGACAGTGTTAGTTACCCAACTCCCTGGGTCTGTTCATTATTGGTCTCCGCCAGGGAACACAGTGGACACAGTAAACACAGCACTGAAACCCGTAGGGCACAGCCGTCCTGTTCCACATCAGCACTTTGTCTCATGATTATCAGCACTTGTTTTATCTAGTCACAAGATAGTCTTTCAAAAACCATTAGATTACCTTGGAATATATGTGTATTAAACTAATTAAATACTTTTTTAGTTGTCCATTTCCTTACGGACCATGCTTATCAAGAGGTACTAGTGTATTTTTGTTCATGAAGTTTACAGAGATGAGTTTAGTAACAAAATGACTCAACTTTGAACGAGTGTGTGTGTCTGTATGAACAGTGGAGGTTGCAGTATGTGGGTATCTAATGGACAATTTAAGTACATGTCAAGACTGTGAGAGCGTTTGGGATGTTTTGGTGAGTTGAAGGGGATGCAGTATGTGTTGAATGTTCTATTGTAGTTGATATGGAAAATAAAGTGGCAACCTGATACTGCAGAGCAAGTTGTGTGTGTGTGTGTGTGTGTGTGTGTGTTCGGCAGGGTTAATGTGTCCACGGGAGCTCTAAACTCCCAGTCACATGTCGGCATGGTGTGGTTACAGCTCCGACACTGTGGCTTACCAATGCCTGCTGTGAGCCACGCCCCACAGAGATAGCCTCTGACCTGGCCCAGTCTGGCCAGTCCTGGGCCTGCTTGTCCCTCTGGGGCCACAGGGGGTGTGTGGACGAGGATGTTGATGTTTTGATGGTCAGCTGTCTGTAATGTTACGTGAGACTGACACTGGTGAGGGTACATCTCTCAACACGGCAGCAGCCTGTTTCTAAGAACACAGACAGACAGACAGACAGACAGACAGTGGCATCATGTCCATAGGGGGGACAAAGGCACGCGCTCCCTCAGATTTGTCCTGTTTTTAAAATTTTCAGATATTAAATTAATTACTCAACTTCATTTTTATCATAATTATTTATAAAAAAAGATCTGTCAGAGGTACAGTTGAAGTCGGAAGTTTACATACACCTTAGCCAAATACATTTAAACTCAGTTTTTCACAATTCCTGACATTTAATCCTAGTAAAAATTGACTCCTGAGTGGCGCAGTGGTCTAAGGCACTGCATCGCAGTGCTAGCTGTGCCACTAGAGATCCTGGTTCGAGTCCAGGCGCACAATTGGTCCAGCGTCGTCCAAGGTAGGGGAGGTTTGGCCGGCAGGGATGTGGGTTCGTTTCCCACGGGGTCAGTATGAAAACAAAACAAAAAAACTTATGCATTCACTAACTGTAAGTCGCTCTGGATAAGAGTGTCTGCTAAATGAGTAAAATGTAAAAATTCCCTGTCTTAGCTCAGTTAGGATCACCACTTTATTTTAAGAATGTGAAATGTCAGAATAATAGTAGAGAGAATGATTTATTTCAGCTTTTATTTCTTTCATCACATTCCCAGTGGGTCAGAAGTTTACATACACTCAATTAGTATTTGGTAGCATTGCCTTTAAATCGTTTAACTTGGGTCAAACGTTTTGGGTAGCCTTCCACAAGCTTCCAACAATAAGTTGGGTGAATTCTGGCCCATTCCTCTTGACAGAGCTGGGGTAACTGAGTCAGGTTTGTAGGCCTCCTTGCTCGCACACGCTTTTTCAATTCTGCCCACACATTTTCTATAGGATTGAGGTCAGGGCTTTGTGATAGCCACTCCAATACCTTGACTTTGTTGTGTTTAAGCCATTTTACCATAACTTTGGAAGTATGCTTGGGGTCATTGTCCATTTGGAAGACCCATTTGCGACCAAGCTTTAACTTCCTGACTGATGTCTTGAGATGTTGCTTCAATATATCCACATAATTTTCCTTCCTCATGATGCCATCTATTTTGTGAAGTGCACCAGTCCCTCCTGCAGCAAAGCACCCCCACAGCATGATGCTGCCACCCCTGTGCTTCATGGTTGGGATGGTGTTCTTCGGCTTGCAAGCTTACCCCCTTTTTCCTCCAAACATAACGATGGTCATTATGGCCAAACAGTTCTATTTTTGTTTCATCAGATCAGAGTACATTTCTCCAAAAAGTACGATCTTTGTCCCCATGTGCAGTTGCAAACCGTAGTCTGGCTTTTTTATGGCGGTTTTGGAGCAGTGGCTTCTTCCTTGCTGAGCGGCCTTTCAGGTTATGTCGATATAGGACTAATTTTACTGTGGATATAGATACTTTTGTACCTGTTTCCTCCAGCATCTTCACAAGGTCCTTTGCTGTTGTTCTGGGATTGATTTGCACTTTCTGCACCAACGCACGTTCATCTCTAGGAGAGAGAACGCGTCTCCTTCCTGAGCGGTATGACGGCTGCGTGGTCCCATGGTGTTTATAGTTGCGTATTATTGTTTGTACAGATGAACGTGGTACCTTCAGGCGTTTGGAAATTGTTCCCAAGGATGAACCAGACTTGCGGAGGTCTACAATTTCTTTTCTGAGGTCTTGGCTGATTTCTTTTGATTTCCCCATGATGTCAAGCAAAGAGGCACTGAGTTTGAAGGTAGGCCTTGAAATACATCCACAGGTACACCTCCAATTGACTCAAATGATGTCAATTAGCCTATCAGAAGCTTCTAAAGCCATGACATCATTTCCTGGAATTTTCCAAGCTGTTTAAAGGCACAGTCAACTTAGTGTATGTAAATGTAACGAGTGTCAGTGTAATGCGATGGATCGAAGTCAGGCGCAGGACACAGAACTCGAGGAAACGTACTTTACTGAACTTGAGTAAAGAAAACAACACAGCAATACCTTCACGCACGAAGGAACTAACCCGCTCACCTAACGACACACGAAACGAAAAACAACCACGCACAAGACACATTGGGAGCACCTGGGTTAAATAGGGTAGGCGTGATTACACAAATGGGAAACAGGTGTGTGACAGAGACAACAGGTGCAACATAGATCGGCAGTAGCTAGTATTCCGGTGACGACGAACGCAGCAGCCTGCCTGAGCAAGGAGGAGGGGCAGCCTCGGCAGAATCCGTGACAGTAAACTTCTGACCCACTGGAATTGTGATACAGTGAATTATAAGTGAAATAATCTGTCTGTAAACAATTGTTGGAAAAATTACTTGTGTCATGCACAAAGTAGATGTCCTAACCGACTTGCCAAAACTATAGTTTGTGAACAAGAAATGTGTTGAGTGGTTGAAAAATGAGTTTTAATGACTCCTACCTAAGTGTATGTAAACTTCCGACTTCAACTGTAGATACACAATTTACTTAAATTGATTTAATTATTGGCTTATGACACTATATACCAGTGTATCAGTTGTACTAAACTCCTAAGGCATAACACTTATTAAAGAATCAATGTCCATTGTTAATTTAAATGACAATTGAACAGGTAAAGAGGTAAGCTTAGATAACCTATGAATAAAAATAGACATATTTAAAAGCTGTTTCAGGTGTTTGAAAAATGCACCATTCTCCAACCACCCCATCACGTACTTAGTGCATGACGAACCTGAACACAATCACTCTCCCTCTGTCTGATCTTGGTTTTAAAGTGCAGTCTCTCTCTCTCTCTCTCTCTCTCTCTCTCTCTCTCTCTCTCAGCTGAGCCTGACTGTATAGTTTTGTAACAGAGAGAGAGATCGCCCTGGCACTGTGGAGGGGGCTGCCAGGGGGCAGAATGATCAGCCTGGCAGGATCACCTTATCACCGCTCATCCTTAGGGAACTTCTACACCGAAGGCCTCATTAGAATAGTGATGTCACAATTAATTCACAAACAGAGGAACTTTGAGTCCCCATGCTGGTCCCTATCACACCTACTGTCAGGCAGCTGCGTCCCCACCAGACATGTGACTTATGCTGTTGTTGTGTGCTTAAAGGCCCAATGCAGCCGTTTTTATTTCAAAATCAAAGCATTTCTGGGTTACAAATAAGTAACTTGCTGTGATTGTTTTCAATTAAAATGGGAAAAAATTAACAAAAACAGCTTCTTAGCAAAGAGCAATGTCTCAAGCAAGAATTTTGCTAGGACTGTCTGGGAGTGAGGAGAGGAAAACTGAAAACTAGCTGTTATTGGCAGACAGGTTTGGAACTCTCTTTCTTTTTGGTCTATCAACTCATTTACCACCTGGTGATGTCACCAGGCAGGCCAAAACTCCATCCCACCAAAACAGGCTGAAATTTCAGGGTGTCTTTTCAAACAGCTCTTACACTAAAAGGTCGTTATCATAATTTTCACAATTTCACAGTATTGTTCAAACCTCTTAGTGTGGGATTATATATTAAACACTCAGGAAAATCACGTTTTTGACTGCACTGGGCCTATAAACAAATGCTTGGCACTCACAGGCCAGGGGTCAATGTTACTGTAATACTGTTTCTTTAATCGCTTTGGTGGAATTTTCACAAGTATGTGGTACATTTTCATAACTCTTAGTACAAAACTCAAAACAGATCGTCAAAAAGTACGTTATTTCAAAACTCTGAGCACATTTTCAATTGACTAAGTACAACACACAACATCATACAGTCACTTTTTCAACAAACTTAATCAGTGTTTCATCTATAAAATACGTTTCACATTGCAATACATGTTCATATAAAGTAATTGCCTTTCACAATGCAATGGTCACATTACTTTTTATATGATTCTTTACATTTTACATGTAAACTGGTTCGTCTACTACAGATTT